CAAATCCTACCATGTGAATTCATGGATTTTTTTTTCACATTCTGTCTCTCACAGTTGAAGTGTACCTCTGGTGCAAATTACTGACCTCTGTCATAATTTTAAGTGGGGGAACTTGCACAATCGGTGGCTGACTAAATACTTTTTTGCCCCACTGTACATGCATGCCTCCATGATTGAAAGACTGTAATAACCACATTTTATTTATTACAACAAGACACCAACAAGAATGTCGGTTCACATCCTGTTTCTTTACCTGTTGATGAAATTGAAGTCAGCTCTACGTTTTTGCTGTGTCCCAAAGGATGTGGAGACAACTCACTGGATTACTTCAAGTCTCATTTTTAATGTAATTAAAAAATAATTCTACTATCAAAATGCATACTTTCATTCTTTCAGTCCCGGTTTTGTTTGGTTTCATAATAATAAGATAAGTACGACAAATTTAATGTGTAATGTACAACAGAGTAATGTTGTGGGGATGCTAAAGACCTTCAAGTGGGAGTGAATATCTGTCCATGTGAAATCATTATTTGGCCATTTTTTGCACATTTTACACAAATATGACATCATTGATACAATTACAGTGACTTACTTAAAATAACACAAGCCAGAGTCTTTTAATCAGTACACAGTAGCTCAGGGGAACATGAAAAATTGGAAAACATCTACAGTCAATCATTTTTCAGTAGATTATAATTTTTACTGTAAATGGAAGTATTACAGCAAAGACTAATACTTCAAATTCAGCTTCTATTTTAAAATGAATTAAAAAATAAATAATGAATTCAATGTCCCATTACAAACGGAGGCTGATGCCCTGAAAATACTAGCTATTAGGAAAAACCCTTTCAAACTTCAGGTTTTTAGCCTCCAACTAATATAAAAGTCTTTGAAACAAATTGGTTTTAATCAACATGTATGATTTTACAAAGAAATTGGCTCAGAGGATTATGGGAAGTATGCTTACAGAAAGACAAACCCCTGAAATACACTGGACTTATCTGTGTCACATTCTAGCTCCAATGCAGCCAGCTGAGTTGATTAAACCATTCAAGAAATTGCTTGCAATTCCACAAGACATACACCAGTGAATTCCAAAGCATCCCAGAACAGACTTGCAGCTCTACATCACTTAAAATTGTGCCGGCTCTAGTTTTTACAGAGGCCACATCAAGCTGCACAAAGCTGATAAGGAGGCCAGGAGGCTGGGCACAGAAACAGCATGGAGAATCCAGTCAATTAAACAAAAATACATGCAGAGTACACTTTGCTTCTAAAAGGCTACTGATGTAGTCTGAAGTTGGACAACGAAGGCTTTAAGTAACACTGGATGCCTTTTGAAGTCGACAGTTTAGTCACAAGGTGGTCTTTTATATTTTTAAAACTGACCAGATTTTCTATGCCATCCCTGTGTCTGACGTTATGCCCTCCTCACCAGCTTCTTGGATGCTTATGAAATACGCTGTGGTGGGTCCTGGGATGTTGTCTTAAAGCTGTAATGAAACAGAGCTTCATCTAGCGTATTCCCAGGTTAATAGTCATAAAATTGAATTGAATAAATGGAATGTCAGAAAAAATCATTAGAAAACTGACAACATGTATATTCCTCTCTTATGCATTAGGCCACCATAAACCCTTCTATTTAAAGTGAATACATATTTATTCATACTGAGTAATGACATAGTGTAGAATATTAAAACTTGACATTTATGGAATAAAACAACTTTTTTAATCAAATTGCTCGGTTGATATAAATTTGTTATTAATACTGAGTGAATTTATACAACGAATAATGTAATAATTCCACTGTAGAAGTTGGATGGTGACGTCATTTAAACCAAGAGGTTGGAGGCCCAGAATGAGTCCTTAACAACCGGGCACTGCAACAATAATCTGGTCTCAGACAACAGTTGATATAATCTTAAACGTGATTGTCTATTATACTATATACACTATAAGATTGTTTTTGATCCTATCTATTAACTAGTAATTAATTGGTCATAAAATAGTAATTACATAAAATGATTTTTGGTGAAAATCGCCAAGGTTGGAAAGTACAGTGCACATTATCTCTACCAACGGGAAACAGTCAGGAAAAACATCATTTATTACCCAGAAACAAGAAAAAAAAGTTTGATTAGATAGTTTTATTAAAGGATTCATTGTTTTTATAACATGTATTTGAGTGCACTGGGAATATTTTTGCTGCTCTGTGTTTTGTTTAAAAGAAGCAACATTCATTTACACAATTACTGAAAAACCTGTTTTTTGTGTGTGTTTATGGTAAGTCATTCATTTTGGACCAATTTCAGGAATAACCCTAACTAAAATGATGTGGGGATGCAGTCATGCACTGCTGTAACTGTTCAAGAACTTGGTCATTTTTGCTTTCAGAAGCTCCATTGTGGAAGTGTATTACTGTTGCCTGGTAGCAAAGAAATCTTGAAAGTTTAAAGTATTTGGGATGTTTTGTCTGTGTCTATAGTAAAGGGAAAAATAGGGAAAGAGGTCATAAAAAGGTGGAATGTTGATTTTTTTTCACTCTTTATTGGTGGTGTAAATTTGTCTCTGAATGACTGTACTGCCTCATCACTGTACTTTCACTTTCTGAACCTTTATGATGGCTTTTTTAAAATCTTTTTTATCTTCTGTTCAATTATTTTTTATTACTTACTTTCAGATTTCCATATCTATTGTAAATATTTATCTGTTACTTTTAATTTAATTTATTACTTTTCCCCTCTTTTCTTGTTGGACATTCAACTATTTTTTTTCTTTTTCCATTCTGAATCACCACCATGTTCTTTAAATGTCATGTATGAAGAGACAGTATTTATTTTAAGTAACAATATTATTTATATCCCCTTCATTGTGTAAATTGGGAAGCCAGTTAATGTTTGATCCGTATTGATTGTTAAGGTGTTATTTACATTTTTATGGTTATTAAACACCCTTGAATAATCAGGCCTTACTGCAGATTTTTACCCATCATGTCATGTAAAATTGAGCTATGTTTGACTATACAATGATCTCTGTCTTTACTTCTCATCCTAGAATGAAAACTGACTATGAATTGAAAGACTTTTAAATGGTATATGGCTTTTGTTTCAGGCTCTCTTCTCTTCTCCCCCATTTTTCCCACCCCTACCTGACCCTAAAGTCAAGTCGATCCCAGTCTGATTTTTACATGCTGATGTTGGCTTTGCTGTTATTTTTAATGACTTGTGTATGATACTGAATACTCCTTCAGCACTGAGGGTGCTGGAGGCCTTTACAACACATGTAAATAAAAGGGTTGGAACTTGTGATTGTTGTCTGAGGACTTTTGTGATCAGAGTCTTATAAGCTGAAGTTAACATTCTTAACATTCCCAGTGAAGCAGTGCTTTTTTTCCTCAGTGCTATTCTCTCCATTCTCTCTCACACTTTGCATCTGTTCTTCACATAACTCGATTCGGTTCGATATTTTTTCGATACAAAAATTTTTTTCATGCCTTTTTAATTTGTCATTTATTAAAATTATAAATATATATTTTAACTCAAAAGTAGTTTTTAAATTTAATGTTGCTGAAACAACAAAGTAATAAAAAAAATTATATATCTGT